TGCAACAATTTCTCTTAATGAGCAAAGAACTGTTACTGTGGATTGGTATACCACCATTTGTTTGCCAAAAGTCATCACCGAGCTTCGAAAAATCAACCCCGAAAGATGAATCATCCTCCACCAAGACAATGCAAGCTCGCACACAGCCCAAAAAACAAGGCAGTATTTAAAGGAAGAAAACGTGGAATTATTGGACCATCCTCCGTATAGTCCCGATCTAAGTCCTAACGATTTCTTTACTTTTCCGAAAATTAAAAACAGACTGCGTGGTCAAAGGTTCCAGTCACCAGAAGAAGCAGTTGACGCATTCAAAAATGCCGTTTTGGATCTGCCAGCAAACGAGTTGAATAAGTGCTTCGAAAATTGGTTCGAGCGCATGCAAATGTGTATTAATCTTCGTGGAGAATACTTCGAAAAACAACAAAGTCATTTAAAACTACCTACCGTATTGTTTTATTTCCACATGAAAAACTTAAAAGACATCCCTCGTACCTACATCTCACACCAGCGCCCAAGGTCGACTGTCAGAGCAGTGGCGCGGTACCGCATCTACTTTGGTGGTACTCCCGTGCCGTTGCCATGCTTCCTTGTACGTATGTGCTTGAGACAGCGTAAACAGGAATTCACATACACTACAGTGTTGAAAAACCTTCGCTTTCAGGCAGCCCCAAAAGAAAAAGTTGCATGAGGCAAGATCAGGTGAACGCGCAGTCCACCCAACGTTTCCACGCAACGAGATTATGCGTCCTGGAAGCATTCATTAAAACTTCCATTGCGGTATTAGCCGTAGCTCCATCCTGTTGAAACCTCGTTATTTCTTCTCTTTTTATAAATATGCCAGGCGTTTTTCAGGGCCATATCTACACATTGAGAGATCAACGAGAAATACCATTTTTTGCCCCGGATTTGTACTCTGTATTGAGCTATATTCTGGTCTGACCAATCCACCCCGCCCATACATTTATCATACAGCTTGACAACTTGGGGCTGATTTACATATACAAACTTTTTTCTTTTTGAGAATACCGCTTTACTGAATTTACTGGTTCAGTTTCAATCGCTGTAGACCCAAAAGTTACAATATTGTTGTCATTCCATTTTACAAAAATTAAGTTTTTATGTTTTACTTTGGTATAATCAAACACTCCACGTTGTTCCTTTCCATAAGTTTTGAAGTTTTCAAAGAAGACATGGGTATACGATTTTCACGAATTTTTCCTGTACCACATATGCCTTTTTCAGTCAAGCTTTCAAACAAAGCTGGCGAAGAAAAAAAAATATCAAATACAAAATGAAATCTAAGATTTGCCCATTTGCTTTTTAGCCTATCAGCATAGCTCAATATCTACAACTGATGCGCCAACACCTAAAGATTTGTAATCCGCGTTCACATAAGTCGAAGCACCCTGATAAGGTTCAAACCATAAGATCTAACCAAGAGTAGTAGCGCCAACAGAAAATGTGAACCCATAACGTATTGGTTTCCCGTGGATATACTGTTTACAGCCATGTCGCCCGTTGTTTGGAACCATTGCCTCATCAATACTATGATGCTCTTCTGGTATTGCGTATTCCAAAAATTTTTTTGTTTAGGTGATTGAAAAGACGCCTTAGTTTAGCAAATTTATCATTTGCATCCAGAGCTTCATTGTTTAGTAAGTGAATGTGAGACATTATAATTCAAATTTATCGCGAGAAATAGCTTCAGAAACAAGTGAGTTGCGTGAATCACTGGATTTTTCCCAATACATCCTTCTGCGAGATACACTACTGTAGCCACTCAACAATAATATTCCTAGAAAACATTTGATTTCAGATTTGGTAACCATAATATTCATGTTTTTCTGTTGAGCATACCGATTTGTCTCCTCAACTATTATGTGTAAAATTTCGTCATTAAAAAAACTAAAAAATATCTCGGTTGGGGACTGCTCTTGTTCATTTTGGTTTTCGTTGTTTATTGGAAACGCATACTCATTTCTTGGCAAATCTTCTACGTAATTATATGTTTTCTTCTTTTTCACTTCCGATTATTACCCCTGATTTCACTGAGTGGTATTTCACCTTCTCAACTCCACATATCCTCGTTTTAATTCATATTTACTTCGACCTCAGATTGCATTAAGCTTCCTGGCAAGTTGTTGATATCCAGTCTTTCTTCGTATCCTCAGAATCCTCGTCGGTTATGTTACCGCATGCATTAGTGGGAGGTAACAAAGTGATAGACTCAGCTTCAATGTCGTCATCTTCTATCATTGCTAGCGCCTCATGTAAAGAAAAACCCCTGAAACAAATGTTCCTTCTCAAGATAATTACTTATTCAAAAATAATTTACCTAAAACCATTTTATTTTTGTTTTGACTATGAACATATTCGTAGACCCCTTTTTTCCTGATGTATTAAATATAGTACACCTATCTTTATCATAACCTCACAAACAAAGCATAAATGAAACACATCATAAAATCATAAAATCTAGAAGCCGCAACTAAGGAAATAATATTTTCATAAAAATAAACTAGTTTTTTTTTTTAGTTTATGTCATAAAAAACCTACTTACTTTGCACAGCGCACGCCATATTCATTCATCTTCTATTTTCGAATATACAAAAACTGATTTCACATACAAAATATTGCGCAATACGCAAAATTACTCCGTACTGTACGAGATCTATCCGCAAACTGTCGCCGCGAGCTATTCAATTTTACCAAATCGTACAGATATCTACAGGAACAAACAAGTTTAGGCTGTACTATTCATAGTACATTAGGCATAAATGGGTTAAAGCAACTGTGAAAAGATATCTAGTGACGAAAGCTTTTTTACAGCATATATAGTTTTTAAATAATGTTTTTACCGACTTTGTTCCATAATTGTTGACTATTTGTTTTATTACTTTGTTTTCGTTTGTTTTTTTTTGTGTATGTGTTATTTTTGTATTACATTTTATTGTTCTCCAGACGTGTGTAAGGACTTTTGAGTACAAACATGAAAAAATTATTAATATTTCATAATTTTTAACCATCTTATTTTATTGCTCATATAAATTTTAAACTAGGTTTTATCAAGTTTTTTACCTTTTATTGCCGCTTTGTGTTTTACGTTTGTCTTATTTTCGTATTGTTTGTTGTTTTTACTTACTCTTTTATGTTCTACTCTAACTGAATAGTACCAATAAATGTATAAGAAGAAAACTAAGATTGTTCACTTCTATTTCAGACTGCAAGGGAAGGAGCACAAACAGGCGTACACCTGGCATGCTCAGACGAGGTATCAGACATAACTGGAGAATTCTTTGCCGAAGGTGCTCGAAGATACAAACCATGCGGTGCTCGTGATGAAAACCTCTGTAAGGAAGTTTGGAGACTCTCGGAAGAAGCTGTTAAATTGAAACCACAAGAAATTATTGTGTGATCGCCTGCTGTCTTCAACAACTACTAGGAACCCTATAAAATAAATTTGCCATGAATCAAAACACGTAGAATTTTTTGAATAATTTTATTTTTCAATATAATCCCTACCTACATCAATGCACCATTTCTCCGCCCTTATAAAAAAATGTTTCATCTTGGCACTCAGAAAAGTCGTCGACGGCTGCTGTTAGGCCATCCTGATCGATGACTCTTCTCTAACTGACAGTCTCTCGATCATTTCGCACCGGCGCACAGTGTGTTCCTTTTAGGGATCAGGGACAAAATTCGATATCTTAAAAACTAGTGGTCCTATTTGAATTCTGTAAACGCAGGGCGATTACTTATTTAAGTTGCTTTCTAAAGTATGACAACAATTTTTAAGATAATAAGAAGGGGTGGGGGAGCAGGCGGGATGCATTTTGTAAAAGTCAAAATATTAAGTTGATGATCTCGAATAAATGGGGATAAGGTAGGATATTATTATAGCATTCTTAAGAGAGACAAAAAAGTCACGCTTTTATTTTTCAAGATCTTTACCGAATGATTTAAAAGATAATGTAGCCAACTTGTGGCGGGCGCAATATGGTTTATTAAATTTGTCTATCTATTTGAAAAAATAATAAGAATAATTCAAATAAAAAATAAATCTGTATAATTTGAAATTGATATTTAGGTTTTTATTTAAAAAAATATATTTAACAAAATAACAATTACTTAGTAGGTAATGTATGAAATAATAATATAAATTATATTAAAAAAATAACACCAAATATACCCATTCTAATCGGAATAGGATTTCTTGCTCGGTGCTGTGTCATTCGTTATTGTACCTAATTCAATACCTAAATCATCATTTTCTTGCTTTTTTAAAGAGCTCTGAACTGCCTCGTTGCATTTCTTATATTTTTTTGAGCTCACCTTTCTTTTTGAGGATATAAAAGGATCAGAAGTAAGTAAAAGAACACGCATGAGATCCTTATTCGCATCTGTTCTTGAACATTTTCTGATGTGAGATAATCGATGTTTCCTAACCGCTTTATGGCGAGCCTCAAGCGCATCCTCCGACAGTTCTCCAATGAGCAAACAAAATGCATCAATTATCTCACACCCATGAACAAGGACCTTATGTACCGTGTTTGGCATGTTGTACCACTTATAGAGGTGGATATACAAATTTCTTGCTTCTTCCAGCAATGACGCAAACTTTTCCATATCAATAGCGCAACCACTAGCTAAAACTCCTAAGATGATCGGAAATTTCTCGATTAATTCCCTGTCAACCCCTGTGATATCTGAACTTGTTTGTGGATTGTGGAAAAAATTCTGGCCGTAATGCCATCATTTGAGGAGCCATACCCGGGTTTTGGTTTGTCAACTATTAGAGACAGCTTGGCTCTGAACTCTGCTTGGATTCGTTTTTTGTTTGCTTCGACTATAGCTTTGTTTTCAAGCCCACGAACCTGCCAAGATTTAATTGGCAGGCGGTATCCAATATGGAGTAAGCATTCAAAAAAACGAATCCAGCAGTGTAAAGTTGACAAATCAAACCGGTAATGGTCTACGTTAGGAGGACGGTTAATCCCTGCTCACGTGTTCATGTCCTTGGGTGTGGCTCCGCAAATGATGCACTTCATAGTTGAATTTGTCTCTGATAGAAAGTTTCCAACACTGCCGTCCAACATTGTTAACATCATATCAACTTCAATTATATAAGAGTGTTCTTTTGTTTTAATCTCAATAGGAATCAAATTTTCAATTTTTGTTATTATTTCCTTTTCCGTATTCCGCACTAAATCAGCATTTTCCTTTTTAAATAAAAACTTGATCCGCCTACAATATAAAGTAGATGAAGGGCCTCTCATTTTTCTACAATACCTCATTCGTTTCCATATCAATCAATCTGAGTGGCGTCATTGCTACAAGAAACAGAAATTCGTCGGTGTTTTCTAAATCAGAAAATTTCTGCTTATATTGGCTATGCCCAGAACTGCCATCAAATCCCCACTTGCATATCACTTTAATCCGGCAATCTCTCTCTTCAAAATTTATTATTTCAAGGATACTGCTGTTTTCTGTACAAGTTCTTGCATATCAACTTCTGCAGAAATTTCAGTAATAATAAATTGTGAAGGGAGGATAGCATTTTTTGTTTTCTGTAATTCTTTATAACTAGGAAGGCAGTTCTGGGCATTACCATTAATAACAGACCTAAGTAGCAAATACTTTCTTACGGATATATCCAAATCTACCATAAGGGCTAAAGCTTCAGCTGTACTAAAACTAAAAATTTGTGGCGAGACCTCACTGTGATTGCTTCCAGAAACGACATTTACAGCAAATTGAAGTTCATTTGCAGATCTGTCTGTGGTTAGTTCGGCTACACGTCTTCGTTTTGTTTCTTCGATGCCTCTTCAAATGGCACCCGTGGCCGTCCAACTGAGCGACAAGGAGGTTCTTGTTCCTCATCCAAAGATGTTTTCCTCAGAATCATTATTTATTCTATATATAATCTTGTCTAACCAATATACCTGATTTTGTAAAAGTCGATTCCGAGATTGTCCTACTTTCTGCCATACTATACTTACGTGTTGCAGTGACTATTTATCTATCCAATGGTATAATAAAAGCAACAGAATTCTAATGTAAAAAATTATGTTTTTGAGTAATTTTGTCCATTGCGGCGGACCGTCGGCAAACTAGCTCTCTTCTACCGCTACACCAACCGGCTTTGCTCCTCAGAACTCTCCTCCATGATGCCGCCTACCAGATAGATCCTTCCAACTTCAGCCTCTCATCCTAACCGTTTTTACGCTTGACGCCAGTGATACGCTCGGCGTCGTCACCTTGAGAATTTCTCGTCAGATCACCATGTGATTCCCGACGTGCAATTCGGTTTTCGGTCTGAACATAGTACAGAGCAACAGGCGGTTAGGCTAGTGGAACGTGTAACCAGAGGATTCTCCCTTAACGAAAGTACTGGCATCTTGCTTTTGGATGTCTCAAAAGCATTTGACAAGGTGTGGCACGCGGGCCTCTTGTATAAACTAATCCAAAAGGGCTTCCCTTTTTGGCTTCTAAAACTACTGAAATCCTTCCTTGAAGGTAGGAAATTTTGGATCAAAATTGACAACGTCCTGTCGACAACACGGCTGATTACAGCCGGCGTCCCTCAGGGTTCGGTCCTTGGACCTATCCTTTACTCACTGCACATCCATGACGTCCCTAGTCCCAGCAACTGTGAAGTGTATCTCTATGCTGACGATACTGCATTGGTGGCTCAGTCGTGGTCTGGTGACCTAGTCCATGACAGGCTGCAAGGTGCGGTGGAGGAAGTATTAGATTGGGCGGATCGGTGGCTAATTAAAATAAACCATTCGAAAACGCAGGCAATCTACTGTACAAAAAGACGTCGCGGCGTTCCGTCTGAAGTTGTAAATGAATGGACTTCGTATACCATGGGAATCCTCCGCTAAGTATCTCGGTGTCATTCTGGACAAAGGGATGACTTGGCGGAACCATATGGAAGCGCTAAAAACTAAATTCCAAATTACGTTTCGGCAGCTTTACCCATTATTATGAAAACGGTCAAAATTAAGTTTGATTAACAAGATTCGACTCTATAAGGTGGTCATAAGACCAGCAATGACTTACGCATGTGCGGCTTGGTGTTTTATTGCTAAAACACACATGCGAAATCTGCAGGTTCTGCAAAGCAGGACGTTGCGCACTATTGCTGATGCCCCATGGTATGTCTCTAACGAAACTCTACATAGAGACCTCGATGTCCCTTACCTAAAGGACTACATTAAGCAACAGGCGCAGCGGCGCTATAGCCTAGCGGAATCGCACAGCAACCCTCTGTTGCGTGAGTCAGTGGACTACACAGTCGAGCAAGTTCGCAAGCACAAAAGGCCGCGGATCGCACTGTAATCAAAATTAACTCGTGAACTTAGAACAACCAAAATTGGAGCATTTTTACACAATCTTTAGAAAAAAAAAATCAAATATTTTTAGACCATATCAAAATCTGTGAAGTGATTTTAACAATGCCTAAACGCTGCCTATCCTAAAAGATTCTCTTCTTCCCCTTTGCTCTCGTTCTTCCTTCTCTCCTTTCCTTCCCCTTTTTTCCTTAAAATTGTCTGGTTTCAGGGTTACCAGACCTGACAGACTTACAAACTGACACTGTGACTCAAGAGCAAAGGTCCCACGGTCCGCTCTGACAACCAACGATGACTTGATGACGCTCGGCGCCAAGGCGTCAAAAAAAGTGTATAATATGTAATAACCAGTCTTTATCAAACATTGTTAAGATTTAGCGAAAGAAAACTAAATCAGTACTACAGTGGTATCTTAAATCAAATCAAAATAAATAATGTATTCTTGATTCCAACATTTTTTAAAATAGAGAGACAACAAAACAGAAGTATCAACTTATGGTCTACTGTGTTACGCTTGGCGCCAGTGATACGCTTGGCGCCAAGGCACCAAAATGCTATGTCTTTTACACAACCTGCTGGGCAAGGTGATGCGTTACTACAGAAGGGGGGGGCAGATATGCCTATAGTAAGTATGCGCACTGGATGGTGAAACATAAACCAGTGATCTTAACCTAATGGATAATGTTACAACAACAAATCGGGTGCTCTATATTCCAGCTCTCCCAGGAACCTGAAGTTTTACATAAATAAACCTTACAGCCTAATCTGACCTGCAATCCCTCGAATCACCTGTTGGAGGTCACCTGGTGGTGTCAACCAGCCCTCAGATGGTCAAATGTAGGCATGCAGCAGGAAGCAGAAGACGTTGAAGATAAGAAACAGAATAAAGAAAACGAAAAAGGCCTGTGGACAAGAGTCAAGCATAAGCTACATGCACTTCAAAGCAATTAATCAGGCACTACATGAGTGCTTCTAGCAGCAGCTAAAGGCATCAAAAAAAGGTAAGCACCTAGAGTGTAGGGTGGCCTTTAATGTAGAGGGAAATCTCCCAATCTGAATAATCCCACAATACTAGTGGTGCACCTATAGCACTTGGAATTGTGAAGATTTCCTTTTTCAGCTATTTTCCGGTACCATATCCGCCTTTGCGTAACAGACGCTTCGTTCTGTACCGAAAATTTGCAATGGCGATCCCTTTTCTTTTTTTTTCCTTATTGCCCGCGTCTCGCGTCTGACATTTAAACGCCAGTTGACATGCTATCATTCTCACCTTTGACAGTGACAGCCGACTTGATACCTGTCCGCAAACTTCATTGCTATTAAGGTTATAAAATTGTAAACAATGATTAGGGTGGCTTCAGGACACTAATTTATGAAAGTGAACAAGTAATTTGACTTCAATAGTGTGAGTTGAGTATCTGCTACTTATTACGTTTTGTTTCAGACTCGTTAGGGCAGGTCCACCAGAAGGGAACGGATCAACAGGTGAAAACAGGAATGAAAATGCTATGTACAATGTATACACCTTAGGAAAAACCATTGTTATACATGGGAAATCATTTCTTGGCAACAGTGCATCTGCTCGTCTACTTTCATCGCTATTCGTACATATTTCCTACCATTAACGGGCGTGCCGTCGTCAAGTGCGATAAGGGATTCATGACTCACTCTGCGGTTGGGTTTTGTCTAGGAAAGGTGCGTCTTTATTTAATCCAAAATATCTTAAAAATGTACTCGCAAGAAGAAAAGTTTCAAATGATAGAATGGTACATCCAGATTAATTCAGCACGCGCGGTTGTTGAATTATTTGCGGTACGCTTCCCAGATCGGCCAATTCCGTCTCACGCAACGGTTATAAATACCTACTAAAAATTCAAGAGGGTGGGCTGCTTACATAAGTGCCATAGCTGCATGCACCCTGAAGGTTGAAAACCAAAAATTAGCGAGAAAAGGGAGGAGATCGAAACTGCTGTTTGTGCCGCTGCAGAAGTATCTGAGCCATGCTCAAGCAGAAAAATTGCTGAAATGGTACCAATAGCCGATTTCACACCCAGAACAACAAAAAATATTTTGCATCGCAACGGCTATCATAGCTTCAAGGTTGGAACGGTTCAAGAAATATTTCCTTTAGACAAATACCGTCGAATGGAGTTTTGTGAAACGGTCATGGAGAAGGCGAACAGGGATGGAAGTTTTATTGGTAACATTTTGTTTACTGATAAATCCACATTCCATCTCCACGGTCATCACAATCCTTCAGTCGTTCGGTATTGGTCTCGGGAAAATAAACACCTCAGTATTCCCGTCCGCACGCAGTATCCACAGAAACTGAATGTGTGGGCAGGAATTCTAGGTAATAACATTATCGGACCGTTCTTTATTGATGGAACTCTTACGGCTGCAAAATATTTGGCGTTACTACAGACGCAGATTGTTCCTGCAATTAGGCAGCTTGGCATTGATCTCGCTAATATTTGGTTCCAACAAGGTGGATGCCCGGCGCATAATGCGGCGATCGTACACACTTACCTTGAAAGTGTGTTCGCCCACCGGATTATTGGCGGTAACGGAACAATAAAATGGCCTCCTAGATCACCCGATCTAGCGCCCAATGATTTTTTCTTGTGGGGTTATGTGAAAAGTACTGTTTACACTTTCAATGAGAGAGCAGACAATTTGCATAACCTACAGGTGAAAATCTTTGAAGCGCTCGCGCAAATACAGCCTTCTACCCTCTTGAGAGTTCGTCAGGAGTTTTATAACCGCCTGACATACTGTTCATTGAATGAAGGAGACGTTTTTGAGCCCCAGCTGTGAAGGACCATTTGAAACATTTGTGTTCATTATTGCGTTTTATTTTGAGAACTTATTTTTTTGTTAGAATATCTTTTTATTTTCGTTACACATTTTTAAGAGTGTACTATTTTTTGTTATGAGACGCAACCTTTATTGCTACAAAACCAATTATCCATTCATAAAAATAAGTAGAGTGATTTAGGTGATTTCGTGAAATCTCGAAATCATCAAAATCGGTTCACAGGACGTCCAATCGAACTGGTGCGTAATGCGCGCATCTACTGTACTTCTTCTGTCGACTCAACGCATACTGAAATTTGCAGCAGACCGCAGACCTGTATCACGAATGAGAATAATAGGCAGATACGCTGTGTTGCCAATTTGAGTAGAGCTTCCCGAATTGTGGGGAATTTAGAGTTAAGTGTTGATTCATTCAAGCTTTTAATCAGCATGGCGTAGACGTTAGAACTTCATAAAGATAACATTGAAGCTGAATGCTGCTGGAGTATAGTGTTTCGAATATTCAAAGCGGAGCGGGACACTATACTCGTTCAATAATGGGTCATCAAGCCACAGTCTTTTCAACAAAGAAATTATTTTACGAAAATGCGTTATATTTTTACGATTTTGTCGTCACCAAATCTCTGTTTCTCAAAATGTACGTCTATTGTAGAATTTTCAGCAAACTAAGCAAGAAACGTGATCTAGTATTTACTCAACATTACGGATTTCTCGAAATACATTAAAAAATGTG